TTACCCAAACCTAGCTCAAACCTTAACCCTTAGATGTCTGAAAATGTCCCTATAGAATATTGAACACTCTTTAACAGTGAACATATTATGCAAATCATAAATCATGTTACCCGGAATTAAAAAAATTAAATTCTCAAATCACAACCAATCTAGCTATATCTCAACTTAATGGGGAAGTTGTTGTGATGTTATTATCTATATTAATTACATTGTACTAACTATTGCCTATTCCCTATTTAGGTCCCTTAGAGTTGTATGTTAAAGCAGAGTATTACTTGTCTACTTGTTCTGGCTAAAAGCCCAACTACAACAACTGGTATGGTATATAAAATAAAAAAGACTTTATACTAAATAGCGGACCCAGGTCAAGATTAGTTTGAAATGGTCGCCTATGGCGTTTTTGATGGTCGTTTTTACACACTCGGCCTCGCCAGCCTTCGGCTGGCTCGGCCTCGTTAGAGTGAAGTCATTCTCAATCTCGGCCTCGCCAGCCTTCGGCTGGCTCAGCCTCGTGAGAGTGATATCAGTCTCGGTGTGTCTATCATAAACAATTAAACTTCAAGTTAATTGAGTAGTCGTGAAATGAGACGACATGTCTTCAGTTTCACGACTAATGGTACATTATTACATTATTACATTCAGAAACTTATTACTAGGCAGTGAGTGCGTTTGATAAACTGGCACAGTAAGTGATATATGTCATATGATACCGATGGTTAAGTGTCAGTATTATTAGTTTCTCCAGAGGGATCCGGGAGGGAGGTGAGTCTAGCCACGTGCAGGGGAGCAAGCTTCGTATCCTAGAATCATCTAGAGTATAACAGTGCTTAGTGTATCCATTGAAATAATTACCAGATGAGTATGAAATCGTAAATTTTGAAATTAGATTAAAAATTTCTGATAATTCTTTGATTTATTTGAAACGCAAGGATATATTTTTCAAGCAGTTTATATAGTCCACCACCATGTTTAAACATGCGCTCCTCAACTCGTTATATCGATTGAGGGCCACGTTTTCGTACATTAGTATACTGTTTGATACGTCACTCTAGAAGTGACTTCGGCATTATGTTGATATTTTGTGTGCGACTTGTGAATCTGAAGCTTGCTATAGACATGTCGCTTGTAAGCAAACGATATTGATTGTTGATGCTACAACGTCCAGGCGAAATGTAACAATTGTGATACCGAATGGTGAGTCGCAATACATTGCGGGAGCAAGGAAATTGGAAATGCACTTATAAAGTACTGTTGGTGTTTACACTAGCACTGTGGTCTTGGATGATTCTAGGATGCAAAGCTTACTTCACCTAGAACATATGAGTTCCCTGTATGTGGCTGGACTCACCTCCCTCCCACTTGCACTGTTCAAGATGATTTCATGAGCACATCCTGGGAATTAAAAGGTAATTATGGTAAAGGATAATGACAGCTGTAGCTACAATAATAAATTGATTTGTGAAAATCGGTCGATGTGAAGCTTCCTTAAGCCAAACCCTAATAATACTGTACCACTCGAACTTCGAGAATTTTCTAAATGAATCTAGACTAAAGGAACCAACTTGAATCCATACAATTTTGAATGCTAAAGTTTAAAATACCGCTTTATATTATCACCATTCACCAGACACTATAGCTGGAGAGGGATTGTTTGTCCCAGTTTTGGTCGTCACCATGACAACTGAACTTGTTTTTACAGAATTGCGGATTTATATAGTAAATTTGGTCAAATCGGGCGACCAATTTTAACTAGCTAGATTTGGCGCCAAATTTAAAATATGGTCGTTCAGTCGCCATACGACCAAAAAAAACTAGCGCGGCACTTGCTAGATAGTCAAAATATGGTCGTTCAGTCGCCATACGACCATAAAAAACTAGCGCGGCAGAAAAACTATTTATTTGCTAATTGGAAATTATTTGCGTGTGAACGACCAATTATTGGTCGTATGGAACTAATAAAAACAAAAGTTTGATACATCAAACTGGGCAATCTTGTGTGATTGGTCGGCTTGGAGATGGCTAGATAGTTAAGGATCTTGACCTGGGATAGCGGAATATTTTAATTAAAAATAAATGAGAAGGTGAAAGTTTTCACTGAAGTTGCCAAGTAGCTTGTTTCACTGCATAATGTTTGACAGTTTTGATAAGCATTCCTTCAAGAAACGACGCATATCACTTATTCGTACCAAATAAACAATTGGATTTATGGTAGAATTAAGGGGGATTGCAAACAATAGCCCTAAGAAAACCCAATAAGATGATTTGTTTTCTGAATTAGGAGCACTCATAGGTAAGATTACATAAGCAACCGTAACTCCCAGTAAGATGGAGTTAAAAACAAAGAAGAGTGCTGAGAGGAAAACCACTGTCCATGTAGCTTTCCTGTTGTTCCTGTCCACTCTTTCTGCTGCACCCTGGAGATCATTTCTTGTCAGCTTGTATACAGATACAACAGTAGCAGACACCACCACCAGTATCATCAGTGAACCCATCCCTATCCGGGAGACCAAAGCTCCGATAATTTTGTTTGTAGTAAATATTGCGGTTAATATGCTACTCAACTCCATCATGATAAACACCACCACTCCTACTATCACTAGTAACTTACCCTTTATCTGATAAAAAGGAAAAGCGATGCTTATTCCTCTTGTTACGCTAAGCAGACAAGTCACAAACGCTGTCCCATCTATCAGAAGTAAGTAGATGACAGTCAACAGAAAAAGAGCTACAATCATTTCTGGTCTATCTGCATTGTCTTCTTGAACCCATAACGAAATAAGGCAGGTCAATGTTGTCGCAGTAATACAGAGTAGTAGATCTATGCTATTCAGCAGCATCAGTAGTTTATCGCCAATACCTTTTTCTTCTTTCTTTATGAAGTAGGTCAAGGATACTGAATTAGCCAGTGTTCCAAAAATGCTAAGGACTGCACTGGCAGCAGGAATTTCAAACTTCAGAGAATCTATCAGTGTCTGGTCCTCGGCCATGATTTCTTTGGGATTTTGGGAATAGAGAAATTACAAGGCAGTACTGAAAGCATTTTCACAAGCTTCACATGCTTAATACATAAAGCATCGAAAAACGAGAACGTTTTTAATTTATGATAACAAATCGACTGCTCATTCCAGATAACATGTGAGAATAGAGAAATTACAAGACAGTAATGAAAGCAGTAGTGAAAGGCTACTACAATATCAAAATCTAGACAGCTCAAATGCCTGTATATTTCAATGGTCAGATTATAATACTTCTGCAATTACTCCATATTGGAGCAGTGTTTGATAAAGAACTTCTTGATGATTTCATTGTTTACAAAAAATACTAGAGCACAATTCTTTGTTAGAAATTAAGTCTATTGTCAACACAGACATGGGAGATTGAGATTTCACTTACACTTGTCCTTAAAGCTAATAATAGATGTGGATTCTCGTGGGGAGGTGAGGTATTTCTCTCTCTAGCTCTCTCGGTTACGGTCAACGGTTTCTGGCCTCCACAGTAAGAGGGAAGCCTTCTCGCCGTACCCACAGCGTGCAACTCCTGCTAGCTGCACGCCCGCGTCAAAACTCCAAAAGTAAATGTATATTATATATACATAATCATAAAAAGTAAATGTCAATGCAACAGACCCATGAATTCTTGAAACTGTCACTACCTGGCTCAGAGCTTGTAACACTTGTAACTCCTTCTTGTTACACCCCTTTGAAGGTCCCGAATTATTTTCTGAACAAAAGCTCAAAAATAACCGAGAAATTGACCTTGTTATTAATTCATTTTGATAACTGTTCTGCACCTAAAATTGCACGAGAAATTGACTTAAATAGGTTTCAGAACCTATAAACACTTCTTTATCCCTCAAAATTGATGTTTTATAGTTAATACGAGCAACAAGCAACATATATTCTGATCCTTCGGTTCTACTCATGACCTAGGGCCTAGTGAGTTAAGCTGAAACCGAAAGATCGAGGCAATCGTCAATTTCAGAGAGAAATATTCTTTGCAATATGTTTATTGCAGCTTTGCAACTTGAGTAAACCAAAATTATTGACCTTAAGGTAGGTCAATAGTCTGTTTGAGTCGTGTAACTGTATTATTATTGAGTCTCACCATTTGATGTTTCCTTCACTCAAATTTCTGATTTTGTCTGAATACTGAATAGACTCAGTGAAGACAGATTCTAATGGAAATAGATAGCTGAATAACGTATCGAAATTTCTACGTCATACTCATATTCTGAAATAGTTTCGTTAAAAACTATTTTACAGTTGAAAACTATTTCACAGTTACATATTTTGTTTGAAATAAATTTCGTCATCACATTTTTAATGTGAATATTGATTATATAATTTAACACCTCTAATTAAAACAAGAAAACCTTGCAATCTCAAACAGTGAACTATCTATAACAAAACAACCAGTGCTATGCCGTGAAAACAGACAACTTTTCACAGAGTCATATGAACTTATGAAGGCATCTGTTCAATAAAAGGCTGTATAACAATTACTAATGCAATAACTGGAGGGGGAAATCCGTGTAGTCACTTTCCCAGCACCTGCTTTTCTACATTCTAGGGTACTTGTTTGTCTATACTGGGACGACCAACGACCATCGTAAATAATGGTTTAAAAAAAGAAAAAACCCGGACCTATAGATGGCCCACGAAAGAATAGCATGAGAGAGTAGCTGCATGCAGGATGCTCTGCCTGCAGCTGGAGTATGTTAACCCTGATGGAGGTTGCGGAGTTATCTATGTGGAGATAATGGAGATATCGTGGCAAGTTATCGGAGGGGGAATCTATTGTTATGCAAATTTTATTATTTTATTTCTCTTTTTATGAAATATCCACTAATAAGTGTACCCATGAACAATAACTAGTGCCCACAGCGACTGTCAAAACCAGCCCTTTTGTCTTGGTTTTGATAAACATTTAACCTACACAAGGCTCTTTTGAATTCCAGATCTACTGAATTGTGCATTTATAGTATCATATTTTAATATTATCATCATTGTAGGATGAAAGCTCTGATTTTAGTGGGAGGGTTTGGCACAAGGCTCCGTCCTTTAACGCTCAGTCTTCCTAAACCTCTGGTGGAATTCTGCAATAAACCAACCGTCGTTCATCAGGTTTGTTTAATCTTATTTAAGACGTGTAGGCATAATTTTCTGTCTTATGAGTATTGCTGAAAGCAGTGTTTGACAGGTTTTATCTCAAAATGGTATTCTTCTTCTGCAGTACATCAGTATTGTACACAGTTAACATCTACAATAATCAATTCAAACTATATATTTTTTTTAATCAATAAACTTTCAAATTGTTACACAAATACATCATTTTATTTCAAAGAAAATATCGCCGAATGACCTTACATGCCTTGACAAGTGACCGAGTGTAAACAAAATAAGGGACACCGAAACACCAGTTGACCAGTAAACTGATCATAGCAATTACATCGGGCCCTAAATGCACCTATAAGTGAAGCGATGCTGCAACCAAGGCATGCTAGGTTTATTCCATTGAACTAATAAGGTTACAGCCTAAAATATAAATATAATAAATAACAATGTACCATAAATCATAATTATAAACACACTTTATTTAATTTAACATATTTTATTAATTATACTTTTTATCAATTTATATTTAGACAATATAGTTACATTAAGGTAAATTGTTTAACTGTCAGAGGATGTTATATGGTCGTTTAGAACTGTCCAGAGGTACTTATTTAAATGGGTTTTAAACACGGATGGCCTTGAGATTTCCCTTAATTCATAAGGGAGTTTATTCCAAAGAATGTGTGCTCTGTAAAAGTAAGACTTAGATATGCCTGAACATCTGGTCTGGCTTGACGTAAGGTTTTGTGGAACTTGAGGAGAAATGTCACTAATCATACTAAGATCGTCTAGATGTGATCGCCTTAACCTACTTCCCATGAAACGTCGTAAGTAAGGTGGAAATGTCACAACTGACATGTCATAAAAATATTATGAAAATATAATATATCCTTGTAATCAAACCTTACCGAGAGTGGAAGGATATTTAGTTCCTTACACGCTATGAAATACCTTTTTTTGTCCCTAAGGCTCAAGTAAATATCATTAAGGATCCACTTGATACCTCTTTTTTGTATCGATTCAAGTTTCTCCACCGAGGTTTCTGAATGAGGCCGCCAGATAATTGTGCAGTGTTCGAAATGACTTCTAACCTGAGATAGATAGAAGGCCCGACGTTTTTTAGTGTTCTTGGTGAAGTAACATGTTCTTTTTAGAAGGCCTAACCTCTGACTAGCCTTAGAGTATATCATATCACAGTGATGTGACCAATCTAACTTACTATTGATATGTACTCCAAGATCTTTTTCAATGTCTGTGTATTCGATAGCCGTTTCATTCATTGAGTACACAAAATTAACACTACGATTCATAGAATATGCTCGGGTAATAGAAAGAACGTGACTTTTTGAAGGGTGAAACACCATCTTATTATGATGAGCCCAATTTTGAAGACTGTTAATATCCCGCTGGAGCAGCCAATGGTCATCCTGGGACGTGATTCTACGCCATATTTTTGTATCATCAGCATACATGGTTATATTTGTTTCCGGTGACAAATCCTCTGTAATGTCATTAAGAAAAAGTATAAATAAAGTAGGCCCTAAAATTGAGCCCTGGGGGACACCTGATCTAACCTGACAGGGAGCAGACATTTTATTTCCAATGACAACCCTTTGGTATCTGTTTTCAAGGTAGCACTTGAAGAATCTCAGTAGAGATGCATCAAACTCATGGCATCCCTTTTTATCTAATAAAATTTGCAAAAATGTTGCTATTAAAGCTGTCAATATTCTTTAAACTATAACTTTTACAATAAAAGTAAGTAATAAATGTGCATCATGATAAATTCCTAAACCCCCACTACATTCCACAAATTCCTAAACCCCACTACATTCCACAAATTCCTACCCCCAGATAGAAGCCCTAGTGGAAGCAGGTGTGGATCACGTGATACTGGGTGTAGGGTACCGAGCTGATATCATGGAGACGGAGCTCAAGAAACACGAGGAGAGACTTGGCATACGAATATCTATGTCTTACGAGGACCAACCCCTGGGGACAGGTGGGGTTGTGAGAGCTTTAGTTTTAAGTTATGAACTACCTTATCTAACATTCGATTTGATAAACGCATTGTAAACTTTCTTAATTCTTATAATTCTTCCAGCACGCTAAAATATTAACATACAGATCACAAATATATCTTTACGTATTCCCATTTCAGCTGGACCACTAGCTCTAGCCAGAGAGATGTTACTGGAGAATGCTGAGAAGCCCTTCTTTGTGCTGAACGCAGATGTTGTGTGTGGTTACCCCTTCAAGAACATGTTAGATTTCCATTCAAAACATGGCTGCGAAGGAACCATCTGTGTAAGTCAAAAAGTCATAGAGATCTACTAAATAATGAGCGCATACATTTAGTATTGTGATGTCAAACAGTAATCAAATCAGAAATTTCTGACCAATTTTATTGTAGATCATTACTTGTGTTGTCATTAGATATGCGGTAAATTTGATGTCGGCGATTATAGAAAATATGTTTCGAAAAACGTGACAGTAGGATTAAAGATTGGTCGAGGCTGGATCTCTGAAAGCTGGTTAATTCATCTCTGTCACGTATCAAATCAGACTTGCACCTCCTTTCCATATACTGACGGTAACACGTTGCGAGGTTACAAAATACTGACGGTAATATTTCCTCTTCTGTTGGTTATAATGTTTTTTACGGTCAGGTCCTTCGTTACTCTTCCATTATCTCTGACCTTGATTCTTTTCTGTGTTCTACCAACACCCTTTATAGGACACTTCTTTCAAGATGTTATAATGACAGACTCCTGAAGAGTAAATTCAGAAAGCTTCTGAAAGACCGACCTAGTATTCTGTACAAATACAGTATACTTGATGTCAGCGACATCCTTGACATCACATTTAACGTGAACAGGTGATCACTGACGAGTGATTGCTAGGGGGTCTTGGCACATTAAACCGGTACAGGTATTAAACCCCCGAAACCGGTGTGCCAAGTCATCTGCTGATGATGTTCACATAACTTTATTTCCTCTCTCCTTTATTCCTTCCGTCTTTTCTCAAACTTACAGTTCAGTTACTTTATTTCACCAGGTCTACCTAAGGATCAATTATTCTTTGGTGGGGTTTCACTTCTGGTATTGGCTTCATTCCCGTTCCTTTTCCTTATTCTTTATACTTATTTTTTTTATATAGTTTAATGAGATTACACGTTGCTAGGTTACAAAATACTGACGGTAACACGTTGCTAGGTTACAAAATACTGACGGTAACACGTTGCTATGTAACAAAATACTGACGGTAACACGTTGCTAGGTTACAAAATACTGACGGTAACACGTTGCTAGGTTACAAAATACTGACGGTAACACGTTGCTAGGTTACAAAATACTGACGGTAACACGTTGCTAGGTAACAAAAGTGGAGGAACCCTCGCGCTATGGTGTGGTGGTCTACTCGGACGATGGTAAAATTGACAGATTTGTGGAGAAACCCAGCAGCTTTGTGTCCAATAAGATTAACGCTGGACTTTATCTCTTTAACACAACTATTCTGGAGCGTATTGAGGTAATTTTAAATGTAGCTTTTATCATTTTCGTTATTTAGGTTAAAAGGAATGATGCCTAAATTTCCCTCATTTCAAGGATTGCACTGTATGCATACCTATTCTGACAATCTAAACAATCCAGAATATTGAAAATATCGAAAATGTCCAACAAAATTGGATATTTTTTACATTCTGAATTGTCAAAAGTAAAGTTGTCCGTAAGCTTTTGATTTTGTACACAGAGCTCAGAAAATTGTAAATTATCTTGTTCACAAGACGATTCATGTACATCACACATTTAACTTTTCTTTAACAGACATATTGATTCTCAGTTGAAACCGACAAGCATAGAAAAGAAGATCTTCCCAGAAATGTGTAAAGAGGCAGAACTCTTCGCCATGGAACTTCCAGGTTAAAACACAAACAAATATGTAAAGATTTGAATATGTAACTAGGAACTATGTAATTGTAAACTGTATTAGCTAGAGTACTTTGCCAAGATTCAGTTATACAATATACATTTTGGGATAATTTACAGAGTTTACTGTGTCACAAGCTTGCTTGTAAGATCTTGTCACTGTAAGATTGCACACGTTGAATACAGTTAAAAAGTTACTGGATGCAAATTATGCAATGGGAAATTAGAGCAGCACCAGTTTTAAGTCAATTCTATTACTAAATGCATCATCTAGATGAAGATGACATCTTGCTCGGGAAGTTTTGTTTAAAGCGAGTTCTGTAGCAGGCAACCCAACCCAATTTAAACTATAAAGTAGTAGTACATTATCCTGGCTGTGTTTGATAATTTGAACTATTTATGCTCTCGTTGGAGAAATGCGACGCAATCTTACATATTGTTAGGAGTTGGTGGGATCACTACACTAAGTCGAAATATCCACATCCCATTACACATGTATATTTAATGGATAAAGTACATTTTAAGTGTTGTAATTAGTTTGAAATATATGTTTTCAGGTTACTGGATGGACGTAGGACAGCCTAAAGATTTCGTCATCGGATCGTCAATGTATCTGGATCATGTTTCCAGAACGAAACCCGAACTACTCTGCAAAAACGAGTCATGTTTAGGTAAGAGTTTTAGTATTTAAATAATCTAAATTCTTAAATTTGGAACTGCGATATAAACTTATAAAACTTAATTGCCCGCTTTTGTTTCATTCGCAATAGATATTTACGTGGCAGTATTATTTTATTATAAATAATTTCAGGTTTCTTACTTATGAACTTCAAAGTGTTCCTAATTAACACGCACGTAATCACATTTAATAAATAATGACATGAATTAATAATAAATAATAAATAGTAACATAAATAGTGTGAAAAAATAAATAAGATCGTGTTTGACCAGGAAGCATTGAATGTGCTCACATTTAAATAGGTCCCGTGAAATTGTTAAGTTCTTCTGATTACACGAAATCAATGTACACATATTCCACATAGTAAATATTACTAGATCTAATTTATAGAAGTGGAATACTCCTAGACCAGTAGACCTATTGCTAATAACTACCTTTTTCAAATGTTTATTTCCCAGGTAACGTATTAGTAGACAAAACCGCTACTATTGGTAGGAATTGCCAAATCGGTCCTGATGTCGTCATAGGACCAAACTGTGTAATTGAAGACGGTAAGTACTAATATGGTTGCCTAATTATCAAATACGTTGATTATTCATATTAGTACATTAGTACATTAGTTATTTAAAACTGTATCATTACTTGAGAAGTACGGAGGTATAGACTGAGCAGTGGTTCTGTTATTGAGATATACTTGTGAATAATATCCCAGACTCACATTAATGTTAAAGAATTTCATCATATATTTGGCGGGCTCATTGTCATGTTTCTACAATATCGAAACAATAAGAATTTTGTGGAAGACAAGCTATAAGAATATAAGTTAAAGAATTAAGATTTTGAAAAAGTTTGATCGTTATTGACAACTATTTGTAGCCGCAATCGTTGTACATCTATTCATTCACGGATACTCTCTATTAACGATAAATGACGTGTTCGCTGACATGCATACGGAACATTAACGCTCAAACTGCCACAAGTTTGTGACGCGCGAAGACAATTTAATATAAAAAAGCTCCTATTTCATATTCACAATGTTCGCGTATCCGCGCGCAACACGTTGCAGAGGTTAATTGTTAAAACTTGTGAATTTTGTTTCTATATTTATAATCACAATAGTAATCATAATAATAATGATATTATGTCTTCTTTAATTATTTTATATCATTAGGTGTTTGTTTGCAGAAAACCACTATAATGGAAGGAAGCAAAATTGGCTCTCATTCTTGGATAAATAACTCTATCGTAGGATGGAAATGTAACATTGGAAAGTGGGTGAGTATTGAATTAAATAGGATACGTTATACTACTGCACTGGTTGAGTATTGAATTAAATAGGATACGTTATTCTACTGCACTAGTTGAGTATTGAGTGATAGCATACGTTATACAACCATAAAGTCTCGAGTGGCTTTTCCCTTCTATTTAGAAATTATACTGGTATCCTTACAGTTCCCTTAATTAAGTTGGTTGATATGAAGATTATGTAATTCATTTTATTTTCCTTATATTCAGACATTAGCCACTACCATTTGTCAATAAAAATGGAATTTTGAGTAACCCTCCAGTTTCCTGATTTTAAACTAGAAACCCTATTCTAGTTCTAGAACAATCGTATAGTGATAGTCTTTTGCTGTGACATGTATTATTACTCCACAGGTAAGAATGGAGGGAGTAAGTGTGTTAGGAGAGGATGTTAAAATACGAGATGAGTTATATATTAACGGGGGCAGGATATTACCTCATAAAGAAATAGGTTAGAAAATAGCTCTACTATCATCTCAAGCAAAAGTTTCTGCATTTTATTAGATAAAGAGTACTTTTCGTGGTTTCTTTAATCTGGATATATATAGTTTGATACTAACAACAAACTGATTTTGATTCAAGATCTGTAATCTTTGAATGCTATTCATTTCCCTTTATTTTCCCCTCATTTTCCCTGTATTTTCCCTTAATTGACCTTCACAACAATATTTTTCAGGGGAGTCTATTCCTAATCCTGCTATAATAATGTGAACTGAACCCAAATCCAAAAATCGATCAGATTATAGAAATAACGTTACATGTGTTGTTAGTGGGGTAATAGTGTACTAGTAAATTAGTAAACTAGTATAGTAGATACCGTAGACGCAGGCGTTTTATATTGGACTCTTCATACCATCGCTTCTGGTAGATTTGGTTGCGGAGAAATCAATGATTCTCGCTAAATGAACATCATTTGAACACGAAAAAACCGAAAGAGGATTTATGGTTCCCTTTGAGGAAACTAAAACTTATAAACGAAACCATCGAGATGAAATTGTTTACGAGAACAGAAAATGTTTCATGTTTTGCAGAGGGTTGAGTTGTTGTCTAGTAACTAGTAAGTCTAGTTAATCTCACTTTGTCCTGTAGATTACAGATGGTGCAGTTTTGTTACATACATCTACTTTTTTTAACGGTTTTAAACCGATGAATTTATAATTTAGTTCGAATGGAAATATATTTGGTTGTGTGATAAAGAGATAGACCCTGCAATTACAGAAGTAGATTTTTGTTCAAATAACAACAATTATTAAAAATTACTGTACTGATTTGTTTTTAATATGCTGCGTGTAAGTGTTTTACATTTTGCCATTTATTATTGTGAAGGTATCTTATTGTAAACTACTTATGATTTATAGACTTCTGATTTTGTCACAATCTTTAGTTTTCATCGTCTTACTCTTGTTGATGTTGAAAAAAGTGTTTTACTTCAAGTCCGAAAGTCTATTTATTATTTTAGATTTACCAAGGCTCACACCCCTTAGGAACCATGTCCCAAGTAGATCCATGGTACGATAATAAACTCAGAAACGACGCTACAGGATAAGTTGCTCCTTCAAGAATTATATTCAACAGCTCATATTCGAACCCTAAGTTGCATGATCAAAATTTAAATTACTCTTGGTAAAACCCCTGTCTGCAGTTCTCCGATCACATGACATTTGGCATGATACAAACAAGATCAGTATTCATTTATAACTTGAGGAGCAGATTCTTTAACCCTATAAAGAGGATCGAACTTGTACATAGGACCCCCTTTCAGGCGTGTAACTGCCATTGTCTGAACTATAACTGGAACTGTTTCAGTAGGGACCGGGGACAGATCATAGTTGTTTACCAGCATTGATAACGTCATCTTCATTGCGATCATTGCCACATGTTTTCCCAGACACGCTCGTGGTCCCGCAAGGAAGGGGAAGAATGTAAAGGAGTCCACATTTGGGATGCCCTTTTCAAACCTCTCTGGGATAAACTCCCTGGGATTAGGCCAGTACTCCTCGATCCGGTGGAGAACGTACTGACTATACTGAAACTGGCAATCCCCTGGTATCCAGTATTTCCCTGCCTGGATTGACTTGTTCAGCCACCTTGTTCCTCTCAGTAAGACCGGTGCTAGTCGCAGAGACTCCAGCAACACCATCTCCGTGTAGTGCAGCTTGTTGAGGGATTTGTAGTCTGTGATAGGGTTAGCTCTCAGCTCCTTCACCATCTTTTCAAACACTTCCCTGTAGTTAATCAGGTAGATAAAGAGAGATCCGAGCTGTTTGGACATGTTATCCATCACCAGGTACACCGTCAGGATATCATCTATCACCTCCTCATCACCCAGCCCTGCTGCATCGTTAGCACTGATCAGCCAAGCCAACAGATCGTCCTCAGGGTTAGAGTCCCAGGACTCCATGTCCTTCCTTTTCTCGTCCACCATCTTCTTCCCCATCATCCTCATCTCCACCACCATGTCAATAGTCTCCTGCTTCTTGGTCGATACGTGAGCTCCAAATACCTTCTTCAGATTACCTAGCTGGCTGGGGATAACGTCCAGGAATATGTTAATACGGCGCCCTATCTCCTCCGGAGAATCCACACCCATCTCACATTCCATCCCTAGGACTCCCGGCAGAGCTGAGAATATAATGGTGAATATCTCGTGGATATCCAGGACGTTCCCAGCGCAGGCTCTAGGTTTTAACTTTGTCTCCAACAGTCGGGACATGAGTGGAGTCAACCTGTCAAACACCACGTTCATGTTCTGTTTAGCAAAAAAGGAGCTCATGATCCTCCGTTTTACAGCCCACTCCTGGCCACCTCCTGTCAGGATACTGTACGTTCCAGTTATTCTCTGTCCGAACAATGCCCGGTTAGGTAGGTGATCCACCTTGGTGAAACTCACCACATCCTGAGATATCAGCTTCAAGATCTCCGGGTCAACTGTGAATATAACCGGCCTGGTTTTAATCCTAAACTGAAAAGTATCACCGTAAATACCCCTCCAGGTCAGGAAACAGTCCAGGAATTTGTTAGCTTTCTTAGCTGCCATTAGAGTGAGCTGGTGGCCGTTAAAGAAGCTGTCCGGAGGTGGTCCGGGAATGTGCCGGAATTTCTGGCAGTACAACCATTTCTGTATCGTGTCCTGAAATGGTGTTTTATTAACTTGGCGGCTTTCTTTCTTTTCCGGTCATGTTAGCATGTGATGCCTTGTTCTGTGACGGGCTAATCTGATTTTAAAATTTACGGTGAAAAGTATGAAAATAAAATATAGTCTGAGTACGCATGCAAATGCTATCTCAGTATCATTGCCGCTCAAAACTCCATGAACATGATATTTAAGACTTGAATTTGATATAAGCTTACCTGGAAGTAATAGAAGAGTGCTAATATTGCGATTACACCGACAAGCAACATTACCGTAGGTAACAATGTTATGGGTAACAAATGGGTAACAAATGGGTAGCAAATGGGTAACAATTGTAATGGGTAACCAAACTACAACTAATTGTACGGTATATCTAATATTACAAGCTTGCCTACGCACTTATTATTAACAATAATTGTGTAAACCCAGCTGTGAGCTTTGGCAGGAGGTATACCGGCATGCAACAGGGGTGGGGGGGGGGGGGGGGGGGGGGGTGAGTGAGGCTGCCAACTCTTAAATCAGCGATAGGGTAATTACTGTCACTCGTTATTTATTTTAGATAAGTGGCGAAAATCGTGATGACATTCAACCATCCTTAGTTTTATTTTGTTCCCTATCAGGGTTTGGATATCACCACTGGTAACTTCAAGTGTGAATAGGGAGAATACTGTAAGTTTTACGTTGTCAATCGTCAGTGTTGTATAATTTGTAATACTGAAATTCAGAAAATACTCTCAGTATTTCTGTGGTAAAATATGATTAGAGTATTAATGATATTGATTCATTGTGATTATAACGGAAGCTGTATTACCAATTGAATATGGAAGGTCTCCTCGATATAACAAATGTTTATTTAGGGCTTCTGTACTGATAACAATACCTACTCATCCCAGCTCGACTGAGCATGCTCAATTAGTAAGATAGCGAACAAAACAAATAACGTCTAATCCTATCACTTATCTGTACCTGATCAATATCTGTAAGAGGTCACCTTTGATTTGATCAAACAACTAGACAGTTCGACATTGTGCAGCTAGCTTGGCTTGGGTCCAATTCAATGAAATCAACTGAACGTAAGGTATGCATGACTCCTAGTTTAAAAGTGCCGGTAATAATCAACTCAAGATAAAGATAATGTTCTGGCAGTGGCCTGGGTCCATGGAACAGGCCTAACTGGACTAGAAAGACGGGTGACTTCTCACGGTTTTACCTCCACATTTCATCTCATGACGTTTAACCCCTGAAGCCCTGAGAAATCTAGTGCTACGCTTCACCTTGGCCTGACTTATGTTATATCTGTAACCCTAATTGTTCCTTTGACTCGTTTACATATTGTTTGCTCAGACACTAGTTTATCAACACTAGTTTATCAACACATACTCTAAACGGTATCAGCGCCTAAATGCTAAAACTTTTTGTAACCTTCTATCCGGGGATGAAACGCCGAAATTTTGATCTCGATAGGTAGAACTCTGTTCGCTGACTAAATGTATCTCTTATCATAGTCGATTCTTTCAAATTGGATGATACCTATGCCATTGTTAATTGTACAGTCCTTTTTCCCGTGAAATTTGTGTGGGTTACAATGGAATAACCTCAAACTTGTTATCTGTAAATAGTACTAGCTAACCTTGACACCTTGATTAAAACGATTTATGTGAGAATGACATCTTTTTAACAAAAAAAAGTTCAATTGTTCTGAACTGTAAATACTATTTTCTAATTTTCGTAGAACTCCAACCCAGTAGCTCAATAGGTCGTCCGATGTCAAATCTTTTTGAAGAAAGGAACATAGAAGATGTGTACGACAGTTCAGGTGATCACACGAGAATTAAGAACTTGATATCCAAGTTCAAACAGAAGTTTGGCGAGGAACCCGGCTTTCTCGTTCGGTAAGAATAACGTTTCTTTTGAAGTTCAAATTAAATATTGAATTATGTATTAAAACCTATACAACAAACAAACAATTTGCCACCAAACTCACCCCTCAGAGCACCGGGCCGAGTAAACCTGATAGGAGAACACGTGGACTACTGCGGGTTCCCCGTCCTGCCCATAGCCATACAGCAGGATGTGGTTATAGCGGGTAGAGCTGACCCCTCTGACCGGGTGTTAACCGTATCCAGCTCTAATGATAGCTTTCAGGAGTACTCTTGTAACATCAGGGATGTTCAGGTAGGGTTTGGTGATTTTACGGACCCAATTATTGTCAGACGATGGTTCTGTATTTTTTCCTTTTCACCCTTTTGAAAAAAGGCAATAGTGAAAGGTTACGAATGGAGGTTTTTGCAGAAAAACGTGGATTTTGGAGATTGCAGTAGGTGGGTCTGAGTATGTCGTGTTCCTTACTTCCGTCCGTTACCAAGCAAGGATTGCTTGCGGAGATGTGATGTATAGATAGCCTGTGATCTATGAATGCGCGGCGCGACTGTGTTTTAATGTATATGATGCATGTAATGTATATGATGCATGTAATGTATAATATTACTATTAGGTAATACGCCCAATTTGTACGTGGCACGCGTAGTGTATTGATTTGTACACGAGTATAGTTTACCTTTGCTGATCATTTCTTGAATTACAGATACAAGTTAAGTTCTACGGCAATTGAACTGAATTTTTTCCCGTATTTGATGCATAATTTATCAATATTATTAATATTATGAAGATTGAAGTGAGCTGATTGGAGCTTATACTTAAATTTATAGTAAATGTGAAATGGAAATCTAGCGTCCGCCAAAACGAAACAACGGGCGCAATTCTTGTTTAGCTATTAACTTCTATTTCATTTCTATACTCTATATGTTTTGCTCATTATGTTTAGTCTTGATTAATCCCTATGTTTGTTGATCTGTCCAATGCCCATTACCAAGGTGAGCATGAACTGAACAAATATTGGGTAAATTATTGGTAACATTTCCGGATCATGAACCGTTGTTGGGTATCAATTTTAATCTACAACAATGATCGGAGTCATGAGATCTTGTTTGTGCAGGTAACAGAAGTAAAGTGGTACTCTTACGTATTGGCGGGGTACCTGGGTATTGCTCAACGGATCAACTCTCTGCCGCCAGGTGAGTTTCTTTTTAACATGGCTGGAAGTTTAATATATTGTCAACAACAGTTTTAGTCGCAGCTATTACACTTTTATTTTAGCAGAGATACTAGAACTGCAGAGGGGTTATGAGAGTAGGTGATTAATATAATAGGTAAGAAGATACTTTACACAAATATCTTGAGTATAATGTGCCCAGGGCTGCAACTCATGGTTGATGGTACAGTTCCTATGTCTGCTGGTTTGTCGAGCTCATCTGCCCTTGTCTGCGCTTCAGCCCTTATGTCAGCCCTCTTCCTTAAGGTTTGTCCGACTTTTCATGATTTTATAATTTCAATCAATGTTTTGTAATTTTATGAGGTATTTTCTTCCTTGAATCTTGATTTATAATTTATCTCATTTCAATTAAATGTGTGGAACGTAGCTGGCAGTCTGAGAGATCTATTTTTTAGAAATAATAAGGATTAATATTTAAATTTAAAACATAATAATTATAAATCATCAATACTTTTTAAATTACAACTCGCAAATAACTTCACGGAGAAAAATGATTATTCCCAGCTTACTTGATATAAATCAAACTCACGTATTGGTGCCTGATTTGAACAGACCGTATTCATTAAAGTGTAATCAGTTGTATATTGTAATTTAAAAAACATTGGCTACAGTTCAAATTGTCCGTTAATGATTGTAACTACTCCGACTACACTCCTCACATGTTCCCCTTCTCAGAATCCTCCTTTCTTCTCCTTTTTCTGAGCTACTGACTACTAGTTGAAAGAGTGTTGCTCTATCAAGTGCTCCAGTAGATCCTCGTCAATAACACTTCGTACCTGAAAATATTGTGTTGAATTTCTATCTACCGACAACTGAATAAAGGGATATTTTAAAGTTTACAAAATAAAGTAAAGTTGATTAAACGCGACGAGATGCTAAATGTCATTGCCACGTTTATTTTGAAATAAGTTTTTTGTTTCTCACAAAGAAAGATAAAATAACTCCTGACCAGGTTCCATTGACTGCATGTTCCTCTTTTCACTTCCACATCCCCATTACTCCTTGCATCCATAAAGTCGGTCCATTGGAAGGACACGTTCTGTAACAGAGAGGGGTCCAAAGATCCACATCTTCCTTTGTTGTACATACTTGCCACATCTTCTGCCGAGAGCATCTTGTCGAATATGTTAAGCTCATAGAGGTCACCTCCGAACGAATAGCCGGTGCTAAACCCTCCTCCCCTAGATGTTTGCCTTTGACCCAGGACAAGCACACCGTCCTTCTTCAGAGTTCTGCCTGAGGTGGTGCTCCCAGTCTTCTTTGCCTCTCCGTTCACATAGATGGTTCTGGTAGTCGTGGCGAACTGCCATGTCGTGCAATAATGGCTTCAGACATCTTTTTCAAGGAAACTTGTAGAGGATCCTAGATTGGTGTTGAACAAGTCATCATATGAGCTGAATGATGAGATTGCAATTTCATCGTCATGTGAGGAAGCTACCTGGTAACTAAACCAAACAGAGTAGCCACTACCCGTGTGCCGTGGCTTAACCCAAGCACAGATACTGAAAGAGGTTGTCAAGCTCTCAAAATCAGGCGCAGGTAAAATAACATAGTTCGACACAGACGGGGTTGTCGGGAATCTAAGTACCTCTCCCAGGGGGGTGACTGGACATGGGAGAATGGTTAGTACGAATATCAGTGATATCTTGGCTAATATTATGATGTTAGAGTAAGACTACAGATTGCAAGAATGATTCAGCTTGGGTGACTGAGTGTTATATATCGGATATTAATTACTTACTGGGCGCTTCCAAGCGCAGGTTTCCGTTGAAGTCTTATCTTTGGGATTCATAATTAAAGAAGTCGTTGTTAACAGAAACTTAGCAGACGTGTACTAGGCTCCAATATAATTACATATTACAGTAAATTATAATTTTTACTCAAAAGTGTCCACTTTTGAGCCCTAATCATATTTTTTAATGAAGGACGAAGGTTCTCTTAATAAGCTCTTAATAAACCAATTATTCTTTGCTCAGTGTACATGCCATTTCAATAAGATTATTATTCCCTGTTTTTTTTGTAATATTGAAAGACACGACATAAAGCATTGTTGTTTCAGGAGGAGACACTAAAAAGAGAAGCCATGGCTGAGATTTGTGCTAAAGCTGAGAGATACGTGGGAACTGAGGGTGGTGGTATGGATCAGGTGGGTAGGTTAAAAATTAGCATCTCCTCAATAATATAACAAGTTCCTTAGTTTCCGTCAAACTATTTTTTATAATTTAAATCAAGATCTATCACAAATCTAATTACTAAAAACATCACGTATCTAATGATCTGATCTCTTCAGGCAATATCATTTCTGGGAGTAAAAGGGAAAGCTCAGCTGATAAACTTCAACCCTGTGCGCTGTGAGACGGTGTCCTTGCCGGACTCTGTTACATTTGTGGTTGCTAATTGTATGGTCAACAAGTGGAAAGCAGATGGAACTGATTTTAATAACAGGGTAGCCGAGTGCAGACTTGCTGCTGATGTAGGAAGATTTGTCATTTTATTTATTGTGTACTTTACAGTATTAACGAGGAAATATTAAAAATTTCTGACAAAAAATAAAGAAACATCCTTATTCCTTAATCCGACAGTCGTGAAATCCATCCACATCTTTTTTTTGCGATAGTGATTCCTCTCTTTAGTATCAAATACGAAAACTATGTGTAAAGTTGAAAATCCCAATCTCTACACTTCTCTCAGGTTATAGCCACTGAACTGGGGCTTGACTGGAATCACATTAAAAAGCTGCAACCGCTGATGGTCGCCACAAACATGACTCCCAAGGAGTTGTTAGAAAGCGTAGAAGAACATCTCCACCCAGGAGCTTACACTAAGGACGAAATAATGGTAAGTGATTTTGGGCTGTTTTTTGACGAAAATTATTAAGATCGGTAAATAAGCTTTAAGCTGGGTGCCCGGTGCGGGTAAGTGCTAGTTACATAACTATTGAAGACGTTATCATTTCAGGGTATTCTAGGAGTGGATGATTCGACGTTTGCCTCGATTATTGGGAAAAGTTCTAACGAAGTTTTCCGGCTGTACGATAGGTTAGTTAGACTTTAAACTCAATAATTATAGGAACGTTGTGTTTTTGTTTTTACAGTTCATACTCTCATATAATGCCATAAATTATAAGTTTGTAAAATTTATGATTCTTTACCAACACTTCAGTGCGGTATTTTATCACTACAGTCCTCTTTCTCTTAATTTCACATTTGGTATGTTATCAGGGCAGTGCACGTAGCGGGGGAAGCTTCTAGAGTAGCTGAGTTCAGACGCATTTGTGATGAGAATCCTGCCGATATCCAGGTTTAGATTTTGATACTGAGCGATTTCATAGCTAGTTATCACTATGATGGTGGACCGGTTATGTACGAATTGCTCATTTAAAATAACTTATCCTTCGTACATGATTCCGGAGTTCCGCTCTGGTCTGATTCTGGTTCCGAACATTTGATAGTATTCTCGTCACGTGCAAGAAGTACGCGGAATTATTTGTTGGGTACTAGATATGATCGTGCAATATACAATAGACCATATCTTCAGGGACTAGGTAGATTGATAGACGAGTCACATCTTAGTCTGAAAGACAAGTACAACGTCAGTATTGAGGAGTTGGATAATCTTACTCAGGTACGTACTAGGTACATCTAGGTACATACTAGCTGCATACTACTTACTTCTTACTACTTACTGCTTACTACTTACGATGTACAATGTGCAATGTACAATGTACAATGTACAATGTACATAAACTAGGTACATACTAGGTACTAGTAGAGATAGACCCCTCAGAAATTATAATACCTTACAAGACTTTATTGTGGCGGACCAATTTGCGACGACCGAAATTTTGGCGGTCCGAAAATATGGCGAAATTGAACAAAAACCGTCAAATTTCGGACGTCACAGAAAATAAGGGTATTTTTCATAATTTTTTGTGACAGTAAGCAGTAAGGAAATTTCTGAAATTCGGTAAAATCATGTTCAAACTTAGTCTGTATTAAGACTGTAAGACTTTCATGTTAGCACATACATGCATTTTAATGCAAATTTAAACTGTATTGCTTGACATTCAATTCGTCATTGGTGTGGTGATAATTTGTCCCAAGATGCCAGAATTTATTTATTTATTTTACTTGATATTACTTTTTAGAAACAAAATAAAGCAGTGAAGGCACAGTCATTGAAATAAGCTAAAAGATAATGCGACGGATTCTATTACGACGACCGAAATTTTGGCGGTCCGAAAATATGGCGAAATTTTCGGAAAACCGCCACATTTCGTACGTTATAAATATGTCTTGTAAGGTATAACGACTCCAAATTCAATACTCACTTCTCTTTATGATGATTGTAAAAAGCTTCAAATAGTTGGAGCAAACGTGATATTCCTCCATATAGATTTGTAGAGACGCTGGAGCACTAGGGTCTCGTTTAGTTGGAGCTGGATTTGGTGGTTGTACTATTTCCATGGTTCCCAAAGAAATTGTGAGTATGATCGAATTAAATATTTGGGTTATCATCAATTATTGTTATCTTAATAATGTATAACAGGGGTGTAGGAATGATTTTCTTCATGGGGGGGCCAAATTCTAAATTTTTTTGGCGCTTCGCGCCACAGCCTAAATATTTTGGCGCTTCGCACCAAAGCCTGAATTTCGAGGGTAAGGATAAAAGGAAATTGCGGCATGTGCGGTATCGCGATTTTTCACGTTTGCCGCAACAAATCGCGATTTTCATATCCTGGCCTCATGACAAATCGCGATTTTTTCAGTTCTCTGCGTCAAATTGAGCCATTTCCTTTAAATCTGAGGACCAAATTTGCGTATTTTCCTTCAAATCTGTGGGCCAAATATCACGTTTTCTATAATTAGTACATGAAACCAATCAGTATCACATCCACAACCTTCCGAATGTAGGTATGGACTTCAAAAAACCTAAAAATATATTTTCGGCCCATACCAGAATGATCAGGGTAGGATGAAACATGAACAAAAGTAATTTCCAGAAAAACTTTGAAAAATTTCGACTTTTCGAAAATTTTCGGTCCGAGTTGTTCTCGATACGTACCTCTGAAGGCAGAGCTCCCGTTTCCGAGCTCGTATTGCGAAGGGGAGGCCTGTCTTCAGAGATCGCATTACAAAAGGAAACCCTCGAGTCCAAAATCGTATATCGAAGGGGTAGGTAGGACTAGTATATGGTACAGTCGCAAGATCAAGACTCCAACTAAAATCAGGATTTACAAAGCGGCTGTTCTCACTATACTGCTTTATGGAAGTGAGGTATGGAATACCACACAGACGCAGATGAAAAGATTTGAGGTGTTCCATCATAGATGTCTGAGGAGAATCCTGAAAATAAAATGGTTTTATCATGTATCTAATGCTGATGTACTTAAGCGGGCTAACATCGCTCCTGTTGATACTTTCGCACGAGCAGCTAGACTCCGATGGTTTGGCCATGTGGTGAGGATGCCAGAAGAAAGAATACCCAACTATCTTCTGCACTGGATCCCAAAGCATGGTAAAAGGTCAAGAGGTAGACCTCGGAAAAACTGGTTGTCATGTGTCCGGGAGGATGCAGCAATCTTCACAGGTGTCGATAACATCACGATAGAAGATGCAGAACAACAAGCTACAGACAGGGTTCACTGGAGAGGTCTAATACACCGGAGAAAGGAGTTACTATGTGGTGCAGGCCACTCCAACGACTAGGAGGAGACCTTTTCAAGTACAAGTAAGTAAGGTAGGACTTCGAAAACCGAAAAAAATATTTTCGGCTCATAATGATCAGGGTAGCGTGAAACATGAACAAAAGTAGTTTCCAGAAAAACTTTGAAAAATTTTGACTAAAAAAAAACTGACTAAAAAAAATTTTCGGTCCGAGTCATTCTCGATACGTACCTCTGAAAGCAGAGCTCCCGCTTCCGAGCTCATATTGCGAAGGGGAGGCCTGCCTTCCGAGATCGCATTACAAAGGGGAACCCTCGAGTCCAAAATCGTATATCGAACTTCGAAAACCGAAAAAAATATTTTCGGCTCAGAATGATCAGGGTAGCATGAAACATGAACAAAAGTAGTTTCCAAGAAAAACTTTGAAAAATTTTGACTTAAACAATTTTTTCCGAAATTTTTTAGAAACCTAAATTAAAAAGTTGGCCCTTTTTGGCCCCTTGCCCAGATTTCATGGGGGGGGCGATGGCCCCCCCTGCCCCCCCACTTCCTACACCCCTGATGTATAATTCGATTCTATAAATCAACTTGAGAGTCTAGAAATTCTTATGAAATGACTTATCATGCAAATGCCTTACAGAAATTAGACGCATCCTTATATCAATGATTCTGCACTTTAATAACAAGAATTGCGCCCGTTGTTTCGTTTTGGCGGACGCTAGATTTCCATTTCACATTTACTATAAATTTAAGTATAAGCTCCAATCAGCTCACTTCAATCTTCATGATAGTAATATTGATAAATTATGCATCAAATACGGGGAAAAATTCAGTTCAATTGCCGTAGAACTTAACTTGTATCTGTAATTCAAGAAATTATCAGCAAAGGTAAACTATACTCGTGTACACATCAATACACTACGCGTGCCACGTACAAATTGGGCGTATTACCTAATAATAATATTATACATTACATGCATCATATACATTAAAACACAGTCGCGCCGCGCATTTATACTTACTAGCAGGAACCCGTATAACCCTATAAAAATAGTGTCAAGATTCAAGAGACTAAAATAATTATTACCTATTTAATTCGCGTTTTTGACACCACTTGGGGGTTCAAATTTTGTGCTCTAAAACTCCTATTCCTTGGCCAATTTTTTATTTTTTCATGCCGATTTGGAGGCGATTAAAGCATTTGACCCAGTCAAAAAAGTATCAGTTGTATATCTTTTACGGTTTTTGCGGAAAGTTGCGTTAAAGTTGATGCCGTGGTGTCAGTAAAATGGTACGGATAAACACATCCATATATATCGTCTCGCTTTATATATAGTAAGATAGATCACAAGCTATCTATACATCTCATCTCCGCAAGCAATCCTCGCGCGCGCGCAACTTTTTCGTTGCTTGGTAACGAACGGAAGCAAGGAACACGACATACTTAGACCCACCTACTGCAATCTTCAAAATCCACGTTTTTCTGCAAAAACCTCCATTTGTAACCTTTCACTATTGCCTTTTTTCAAAAGGGTGAAAAGGAAAAAATTGGACATGCATGCACAATCTATTAATTTCTAAATTAAAATTAAAATATCTTGATTTTCATTTTCCCAGGCGGACGAGTTCATTAGCCAAGTCTGGGAAGCGTACTACAAACCTCTTAACATCTCTTTTGAAGAAGCTACCTCAAAACACCTGTTCGTTTCGTCTCCTTGCGCTGGAGCATGCGTTCTCAAAGTGCCATCCTAGTTCACTACTTCAGAACTTATGGAGAATTGATTAGCATAGCTTTGTGCTAAACACGATACTAAAACAGAATAGTGCATGGGGGTTGGTTATAGGTTATGTTTGCCTATTTCTATGAAAACGGGCTGAGTTTTAAATTTTAGTTTGATTGAATGCATTATTATTATTCAATTTTATTTTTTGTCACTGTTATGTAATTATGTAGATAGTTATGATAGTTATGTAGAATTTGTATATGATATCTTTCTTTCTTAGGATTTTGAGTGTTAGCATACATTTAACGCATGATAATCACGTTTGTAATTTGATTAATTTAAAGGAATATTTTTATTTTTATTGTAAGCTTTTGAATATATGAAGTCTTATTGTATATGCACGTTGACGTAACCTCAAGTTAGATGATGTGTATAATTTAGACGCGCAACATGAATTAACTAATCCTCCTCCTCCTCCTCCTCCTCCTCCTCCTCCTCCTCCTCCTCCTCCTCCTCCTCCTCCTCCTCCTCCTCCTCCTCCTCCTCCTCCTCCTCCTCCTCCTCCTCCTCCTCCTCCTCCTCCTCCTCCTCCTCCTCGTCCTCCTCCTCCTCCTCCTCCTCCTCCTCCTCCTCCTCCTCCTCCTCCTCCTCCTCCTCCTCGTCCTCCTCCTCCTCCTCCTCCTCCTCCTCCTCCTTCTAAATTGTCGGATCCTAGACAGCTGTTTATTCTTGCGAGGCTTGTTTACTCTACATTTAAAGCTTAGTAAAGTCACGTGGATATGATGAAAGCACTCATAAAATTAAAAGTCTTCACTGATTGCCGGATATTAATCTCTCCGAATCATCTACTGGAGCTGTTTATTGGTGAGATATTCAGGTAACCCTGTAGCTTGGTTATTTATTTAGTTATTTTTTGGTTAACTGACAGATTACTCAAGATTAGAGCCGAACAATATTGTTCGCTGTTCAAATTATAAATGAGATGACCGATGATTCTAAAATTTAAGACCTTTGCGATAAACTTGTTAAAAGTCTCAGTGTTCGCTCTGTGCAATCTACCATTTCCTAGTTCTTGTTTGCATCTCGTTATAACAACCTGTACTTGTATTCAACAAACTTGTTTGTCTGCGAACTGTTCCCTCAACTTTGTCTACCACAGATTGTAAAGCCCACTGTCTCACTAGGCACATTCCATTGAACGATGTGGCAGAATCTGGTGCTATCGATATTTATTGTTGGCCTGACTCTTGGTGCTGAGGAAAAAGAAGTCAAGTTTCAGCTAGCCACTAAAAAGGTGGTGATAGCTGACAAACCGACTAACACCTCGGAAATCAAGACAGAAACCTTGCAGCTGATCACTATTGCCAATAGTGCGTCTTATGGTGTACAAAATCCAGACTTCGGCATATTGTCGGTTACCATAAAGTCGTATTACAAAGAGTCTGAAACCAAAACAGATGACGCTACAACTGACGACGCAAAAACTGACGACGCAAAAACTGATGACACTAAAACTGACGACACTAAAACTGACGACAGTACTACTGATGACGCTAAAACCGAAGAGAATAAAGACCGGAGAAAGAAGCGAGACACCAAAACACCACCCCTCTTCACCCAACTTCTCCTCGTTAACGACGACCTCTCCCCCGTCACCGAAATCAACATCGCCAACTCCACCTCCTCCAAATCATTCGGATGTCCCACCTCCAACTCTTCCACCGTCCCTGCTGCCACCAGCTCCTACGCATTCCTCGCATACCTCTCATCCTCCTGGGCTTCCACCGTGGAGCTAACCGTCAACCTGGACTTCACCAAGATAGCCATGGGAAACAGCATCAAGTCAGTGTTGGACCACAGCCAAAAGGAAGTTCTCCACATGGTGGATATAACACCTGATCACGTGTCATATAGGAGAAGTGTTCACATCAATGTGGAGAGTGAGAATGAGATGAACGCTACCCTGTACATTTCACCTTATTGTCCTGCTGCTGTTACTAACTTCTTTGAAGGCTACGAGAGGGCGAAGTTGTCCTTTTCTAAGACGGCGACGTTTTCTCTCCATCATTCTTCTTTTCCGGTCATTAAAGCTCAGCGGTAAGGCTTACTGATTACTGAAACATAAAATTAAAACTACACTTGGCTTCGGTCCCACTGAATCACTCGCCTAGGATTTTAATCTTTTTCACAGATAGGCCATTATATGATTATAAGGGTAAGATTATGGTATAATTGGATGTATTTTTCTATGCTGATTTTGAAACAATCTTATGGCATAGGATTAAAATGCTTCCCTGAGGAGTTATGGGCAAAAAACTGTTTTAGTCACGATAATTACCGTCAACCTGACAAACTTTATTACCCGACCCCAGGTATTACGTACGTATCTCCCTGGCTGACGGCTACCCAGCCAACATGTCCAAGAATGTGACAGTCTCAGTTAACCAAGGCTACGACTACACAGTGTTCGTTCCCCTGTCTCTCTACTGTCTGGTGTGTCTCTTCTTCGCGACTATGATCACGTGGGGCTTCTTCAGGGTCTTCTCCTACTCCTGCGATCTGCCCTGTTATGCTAGTTGGAGGAAGACTATCATGGGGTGAGTGCGCGGCGTTAATATCTGGATGTTAGTTTCTTATTCATAGTATGGGTATAAGGTTCTTGGGTTAATAGAGGGATCTCGTCCCTACGTAAGTCAGTTTAGGGAGGTTTGCAATAATAAGTATGACAATAATTGATTGATGGCTGTGACTTGAAAGAAACAATGATTTAATTTGGTTTTCACTCATGGTTGATTGATCGAAAGCAACATCTATCATCACATCACCAATTTAATATAGGGGGTGCAAGTACAACGACAATTTTTATATAAAGATATAAATGTTTGTCCAGTTTAAAACAACACCAAAAATGGTTATGACACCCCACCTGGTAAATAGCATTTTGATTTAGTGGTTCATTTGTTTGAGACTGACTTTGTTTGAAATGGCTATAAACCCCTCCTTCCCACTCTAGGTGGTTAATACGAGGCAACAAGGGGTACGCGTACTGGACCCTAGTAGTGGGTGTATGTGTCCTACTGGGGGAGGTAGCTGTTGTTATCAAGTCCTATGATAGGATGACCACGGAGGGGGACAGGGATCTGTGTTATTACAATGAGAAGTGTTACCGGTCTGTTACCTGGATGGACATGCCTGCTAACTCTGGTGAGTGGATTAGAGGGGGTCCTGCCTGCCTCGCTGTTCTGTGAAGTCACTTTCGTTTGACATTTTCTGTAATCTTTTTGTATCTAATTGGGTTAACTTTTGATTCGGGTTACGATTAATCATCAAAATCAGTTTTGAATAAGTCTCGATAAGTGTCGGAATAGAAATCAATATGTTTTTGTAAATCAGAAGTAACATTCTAGCGATTGACTTGGTGAAATCATTGGATACAGTAAGAAAGCGTATCAAAATAACTGGTATTTTGGAACTGTCAGCTTAGTCCCTTAGTTATAACATTCTTGTTGTGTACAAACATTCCTTGTTGTCTAGTTAGTGAGAGGAGACTTTTCAGAGGTCCCGGTAAACAAGTACAAATTGTGTTATGCTTCAGAACAATCACTCAAGACTTCTAATCTTTAAAAAATCAAACAATTTGATCATAAATATGCATTTAAGGCACTGCATAATTAATTCCATCTGGCAGTATCATAGCCTAAAGACGTTCCATGTCTTGAACCTTATGATAGAGTTTGACTGTTTGACAATCAAATCGATCCGCCTAGGTACTCTGACTTTTCTCGATGATATTCATGACCGATCTATTATCTTTCTGGTTATTAATCGTCATCGTTTGAAAATAATTTGACTCCCCTGAATCCAATTGAAGCTGATATCAATTCTCTTTAGTGACAAGTAATTTATCGTTCCTGCTGCACGGCATCATGGCTCTGATAGTGATATCTCTGATGGAGAGCAAGTGTGGTGAGAATAACCACATCCACGAGCATTCCTTCTCCCTCGCCTACTCTCTCGGCACTGCTCATGTCATGCAGGTTTATATATTATGTCTCTGGTATTTACTGACAAATTCTTGGGAAAAATGAGGCCCAATTAGAATTACGATCATGGATTTAGAAATTATATACATACAGCAAATGTATGAATTTTATTTATAAACCATATTTTTCCACGCGTAACCATGATAACTTTTACGATCAATGTTTAAAATTAAGTAAAATCAACTCTATATCATTTCTATGCGATAATAATTAATTAATTAATATTTGATAATTGGAACTGAGTATATTGCAGGCTCTGTGTGCAGGATTATACTCGCTGTGTCCATCAAGACTCTCTCAAACCTACGATCTAACATTCCTTTACATTACTATTGCTCTTTATGTGGCCTGTCTCTTTGATCGGTGAGTTTTGGTGACATAATTCTAAGTTTGATGACACGAATTTTGGATCCTCAGTCTGATTCTTTCAGGCTAAGAAGTTGGAGAATACGTTAACATTTGTTTTTGTTTGTTTATTATTAATAATATTAACTTATTAATAATATTAATAATATTAACTGGTGCGCTGTTTATCAGGGGTTCTATAAACTACATCAAGGATCAGAAGCTGAGTCGGTTCTGCAGTATCCCCTCCAAGCCTGTCCGAGCCTCTAAATTCTACGTGTTTCTCGTTGGACCCATGTTAGCTCTACAGTATACCGAGGTATTTAAATATTTGAAATTACTGGTAAGATTTGTCTTAAAGTTTGAAGTTACTTCAAGTTGAAGTATATTGTCTTAATCTTTACGTTTTCTGTTCTGAACTTACAAATTTTAAAGCATAGATAGTTACAATTTGCCCGTAAGTTGCTTTAAAAGAGCACTTTGTTGAAAGAAAACCTCGCCAATTAATCAAATGACAATATGAATATAAAATATTGTAAAATATTGAAACATTAACTATCAGGCAGCTTTCACCTCGGAGGGTTGGCCGAGTAACGTTGTCAAGACTGTTTACTACGCGGTATTCTTCGTCTGGCTCGCTACAGTTCATGCCTGGATCGCTTTCAAGGCAGAACTCTTCCCTATGGACTTTTACAGGTTATAGATATTAGATTTAATCATAACTGAAATTTTGGATAGCCCTCCGTGATAAGCCCGTCCTTGGAATAAAATAAGAGACTCACTTTCCTTAGTTCTAAAAGTAAAATAACTTTGATCACTTCTATGAAGGAACTGTCTTTGTACGAAAGAAAAGATCCTTGCTTAAAATGTTTCTCAACGGTAGAGGTATTGAGTATTCTCTTACTCTCACAGCATGAAACTTATTCTATAGACGATTAAAAACTCTAAACTTTAAAAGCCAATTTCTTCAGATAATTGACGGACGGCAGGTGTGATACGATTAAAAACTCTAAACTTTAAAGCTAATTTCTTCAGATGGTTGACGGACGGCAGGTGTGATACGATTAAAAACTCTAAACTTTAAAGCTAATTTCTTCAGATGGTTGACGAACGGCAGGTGTGATACGATTAAAAACTCCAAACTTTTAAAGCTAATTTCTTCAGATGGTTGACGGACGGCAGGTGTGATACGATTAAAAACTCTAAACTTTAAAGCTAATTTCTTCAGATGGTTGACGGACGGCAGGTGTGATCCGGATCACCCAGAGTTCTGTAACTGGTGGGATTGCTACAGCTACAAAATGAAGAGAGACAGTGGGTACGGTTGGAAGATGATGTTGTTTGTCCTTCATACCTTGATCTCTATCGCTTTCGCTGGTTACGAAGGTACGTTTAATACTACTACTTCTATAACTTAAACTACTACTAGGCCGGAAATCGGAATTTAGCCGATATACGCCAGATAACCCACTCCGCATATCATTGTATCGTATCAGGGTAGTTCCTCTTTAGAGTTTGCCAAACCCATAATCTAAAGCAGAAAAGATTAAATTTATTGCTGCAAAAATTAAATTCTATCAATTTTATCCCCTAAATGGTCTGCAGGTTTCTTCTGTGATGACTGCAACTTCTCCTACTTCTTCCTCGGCTGGTTACTTTCCGGCTTGATATTCTGTCTCCTCTATGCCTTGTTTGATCAGATTGGACTTGAAAACAAGTTTGCTCACAGCAGTTGGCACACCAATTTTACCTGGGTTTGTAATACGATTATCTCTAAAATGTTTCTACCGAATTATTACCAAATTACAACGCATTAAGTTGAGCAGTTACAAGATCCAGTTCCATCGTGGAATGTTAATTTTGTCTGGCGAACGTGATTCTGTCTCTCACAGAAAAGTAGCAAGTTTGAGAACTTCGATTTTAACACAATTATCATATTAGGACCAAAGTTCCCTGAATCTCACCAACAATACCCACCTGCAGATACGAATCATTTACAGTCTGATGGTCCTATCAGCCTGGGCAGCCACAATCTGGATCTACCGCAAGTACGACCTTTACAACCCCCTCCGATCACCCCAAGAATCACGCACGATGAACGACCAGTGCATCTTTTTCGACTACTACGACGGAAACGACATGTTCAGCATGTTGAGCTCGTTTGCCATGCTGGGGACCACCTACCTGGTGATCTACCTCAACTACCCGTGTGTAGAGTGTGTATCTGCTCACTACGGGATAGAGTACACAGGAAGGCGCTTCAGCATGAGTCTGAGTGAGGGTGCTAAAGATCAAGCAGCTGGAGGTGTTGCTGGAGGTGCTGCTCCAGCTACCATACAGGGACCTTGTGGTCACAGTGGGTGTGGGGGGAGCTGCTCCCAAGGTGCGGGCCATGGCAAAGGAGGGCCACTCAATTGTGGGTGTAAAGATAACTGCGGGTGTGCTAAGAAATCCTGTGGGTGCTCGATAAAGTCTATCTGTGACTGCAAACAGAGGGAAGCTAGCAAGAGAGGGTCCTGCAAGGGAGGATGTCCGCACTCCAAATCAGGATTCTCCCGTAACGACTCACACCGTCACACCAAAGAGTCTGTCATGACAGACATGTCTGATGACATCTCCTATATCAACATCTCGGATGATGTTCCGGACCCCCATATTATCTTTAAGGAGAACGACACGAGCAAGTACCCCGCTGTAGTGGTCAAATCAGGTGAGAAGAAGGGCAAACCTGGCTATTTGTTCTGATCGACTGACACGTGGTGTTTAACCTATTGACACGTGAAAAGAACGTGACAGACAGACAGATTCAAGACTGACAGGGTCAGAGTTGAGCTACATTCATGATGTGAAATGTACACATAAGATTAAAGAGTTGGCCTGAAAGACTATACAAGTCCGGAGAACTTCTCAACTATAATCCCCGATACTTCGGGTAGACAAGACAAGACAGACTCACGCGAGACAACCTTTTCAAGTTATTTTAGAGACATTATTAACGTCCATAAAATTAACTCTGCATATGGCTACAATCCGTTCACAGCTGAATATCACCGGAATTTCTCAGCGTAACCACTCCCTTTTTGACCGCACCTATAATATTACCCTGACTGTCACATCATGGAGTGAAACTCACCATAATTACCATCCCAATATTACATTTTACAACACATAACTACCAGACCATATAGAAGGCTGCAATGTTAAATATTATAATTCTCTCTCTCTCTCTCTCTTTTACCAGCTTTGAGCTTTACTAGCTTGTGTACTTGAGATTTTTATGCGTCATGTTTTTATCAGTAAGTCTACGTAAAGTTTTTTTAGCAGATTTAATTAAAGCCCATTCCACAGATTATCATTAAAGTCCGAATTTTAGGATTTCTGTTTTTATCCTAACGTTATTACTGATTAGAGTTTCTGGAGTCACGGGTCACTACTTTTAATCCAAAGATTAAATTTGAGATGAAGTTGGTATTCTTCCCTCTTTTTTGGGTGTATTTTAACGACCTGGAGGTGTTATCTGATCTCCTATCACAATACTGTGCATAATGCATGATCTTCCCCGCTTCGTATAGGTGATAATCTAAATATATTTAGTTTCTCGATTTACAAATTTTTGTATCATGGTATGGTTCTAGTCATGCTGATCTCAGAACACACTGACACAATAAAAAATGTCAATTGTTTTGTAAATTGAAGGTAAATGCAGTCAAAGTATAATATATTGATATACAGCCATGGCAACGCTCTCCATGGCTTCTTCTCGATATTATCTAAGAGTAATTTTTGCTTCCCTGATATCTCTGAGGTCATGCTTTAAAATGTACAATTACACATTTTGGACACATTTTGGACACATTTTGGACGATAAAACATACTTTACGGTTGAATTTCAACATTTAACTTAAAATTACTGGTAGGTCCTTCCGAGATCTATTCGATGAGCCCTAGGGTTAAGAGTAAAAGTTCTACACAGGGCTACCTTAAATCTACGCAAACTCGGGGAACCAAAACATCTCACCAATTTTAACAAAATTATGGTGCGTTACGGCGATGAATGACCACCTACTTCGTAATGGTATTGGTTGTGCAACCGTTTAAATTTCGTTTAAATTCCTCTAAATATTCACGAATAAGCGGGCTAAATTTCGTACCTTAAAATTAATGTTATTAAATTTTTCATTTTTTGTCGAGTGGAGTACCCTTTTTAAAAGGATTTTTAAAAGATTCGTTATTCTTATGACTTTATGAGTTTGGTTTCGTGATTTTGGTTAAGTTGCTTACTTAAATTTATTTTGAGGTCGTAACTTCAGATGCCAAAAAAAGAAGGTTCGTTTTGGAAATTAATTACAAAATTTGGGTGACTAGTTGAGTGGTATGTATGTGGTTGAGCAGCTATGTGCTTATTCTAGATATAGGTTATTACTTATTTACACTATTTATAGCCATCATCGTGGTGATCCAGGATTTGTTATTTTGTAGGTCTTCAATGAAGACATTATGTATGTGCTTTTATTTAGTATCTGTAACTTTTCTTTACGTTCAATCCAAATTCCAATCGTAGTTTTCTTACGTGTCACAGAAAGGAGCTATGATGGAGTCATAGGAAACATGTTCCGAAGAAGCTTTATCGGTTGACAACCCCGCCCCGCCCCCGTCCCCGTCCCCGTCCCCGTCCCCGTCCCCGTCCCCGTCCCCGTCCCCGTCCCCGTCCCCCGTCCCCCGTCCCCCGTCCCCCGTCCCCGTCCCCCGTCCCCCGTCCCCGTCCCCGTCCCCGTCCCCCGTCCCCGTCCCCCGTCCCCCGTCCCCCGTCCCCGTCCCCCGTCCCCCGTCCCCCGTCCCCCGTCCCCGTCCCCCGTCCCCCGTCCCCCGTCCCCCGTCCCCCGTCCCCGTCCCCCGTCCCCCGTCCCCCGTCCCCCTTCCCCCGTCCCCGTCCCCCGTCCCCGTCCCCCGTCCCCGTCCCCGTCCCCCGTCCCCCGTCCCCCGTCCCCCGTCCCCCGTCCCCGTCCCCGTCCCCGCCCCCTCGCACAGCTACTAGCTAACTAGTAACTGCTAAAGTACTTGACTTGTTTTCGATATGAATATAAAATTATAAGTTGGAAGGACATCTTCTTATTCTTTCCTCCTGATATGATTTCCAAATCGAATTTTGTTATCTGGAGCTCGTCATATTACATTTTTGTTGATATTAATTTAACAATCTGTTGGTTTGTCAATGTGTGTAAATTTATATAATCAAATCATATTATTGATAATGACAATGCAGACATACCAGAAGATAAGATATAATGCACGCCGTTTGAGCTCATACTGCACATTACAGTGGCCACCTTTACTTTACTTAAGCAGTTAAAACTTTAAATTCAATTCTCTTGCTTTTAAATTCAAGTTTGTCAACAAAGTCTTCTGATTCCGTACCTGATTTAAGCAGTCGAGAATGGGAAATACTGTCCATATCCAGGAGAATACATATAGTATATACATGAAAGTTTCGCTAGCATCGTGATCGTTAAGCAGACGCTCACAACAGTGGTGTCTACAGAAGTCTGTAAATTAGGAGAACAGTCGCTTCTGATTGCTGGTGACTGATTAGAAGAGCTTTTGTTAATTAAATAATATTAAATATGTCGTCAAGAAAATAATTTGCATGTAGCTTTCATGAGGTTTTTACCCGACTGACAAACAACGTGAATTCTCAGTCCTCATTAATTAAGGAACAAAGATTCATTCATTTGCCTCAGGGTTATTGTCCTATATTTATTGTCAGTCTACCTTGTTTATATCATATTTTGTACCTTGATTATATCATGATTCCTATTGTTCATATTTAAAGGCAACACGTAATACTTTTAATAAAGTTTTGTTTTCCTTTCTTTAGTAACTTTGCAAGTCGTCAAGATTACTACTACATTATACCAATTACCAGGGCTGCACTCAAAGCGGAGCGAATGTATATTTTAAAATCACATACATCTATTCCCTGTTCCCTTTCTTTTCAACATTCGAGTGATATAAAACCAGGATTTAGTACCAAGTTAGCTGAAACTTCAGTGGTTTTTACACTACCATGTTGCACGATGATGCCCATTAGCTCTCTCTAGTCTCTTCGGTACTAGCTCCAAATATTTAGCGTAGCCCTAAAATCTCATAACTGTCTCAACTCAGCGGTCAGCTTCCGAATGAAACAGTCTATTGGATTAGCTAAAGTTACTATTTTACTCTAACTAATCAGTAATCAGTAATATAGTTTTAAACTAATAACAACACTACAAATCTATTACATTTATTGAGTATTATGTATCGCGATGGAAATATTTTAAGCCGGTAATATCCTGTCCAAACCCAGGATAGATAACATGAAAAGTGAAGACTTTGTTGTAACTTGTAAGAACAGCATTAATAGAGTTAGTTAACAAATTGTTTCCAACGTTAGGAGCTATTTATGATTAGAGTAAGTTTATAGGTACATTCCTATCTCCATCATCGATTGGAACTAATAATAATGAAGTTTGATAACTGTCACCTATGTAGCTAATATTAATTATCACTATGCTGCAGAGCTCATTGATCAATTAGAAGTTCTATCGTTTATTGGGTTGTAAGGTTTTATCAGTTTATTGACTGTTGACTCAGCAGTTCAACTTACTAAGGTCACTTTGTAGCTTTGTTTTCCATTTGGCTGGCTCTATTTTTATGATATTTTAAAATTTCGGATTGTTATTTGTGTCTGAGGAATTAGGGCAATCTAACTATTATTTTGGTTTGACGTGCGTTGCATGACTGTTATAGTACTAGTAGTGACGTGCGTTGCATGACTGTTATAGTAGACCTAGGTCCTAGAGAGTAGAAATAGTCGACAGATCAGTAAGACAAGTTATTATTGGGATCGTTATTTAATTGTTGTGATTGTATTGCTTGCTTGCTAGTCACGGATCTAAGTTTCGGCGGAGTTCATAGGTATGTACACTATGAATCAGGCATGCTTGTTGATTTTCTATCAAGCCATTGAAGTTCGTGCTAGTTTTCCTTCTTGACAAGTTCTAAGCACTCAGATATTTGTAATTCTAATCGGATACGAATTAGACTATCAGGCGCTCTTTTTTCTTTGCTTTTCTGACAATGGTACTGAATTTCCATATACTTCAATCTTCGTCACTGTTAGGAAGTTTGGTTGATGAAAAATTGTTTTAAAAGTCAAAATTTTGGAGTTGGCCGTGGTTAAAGTATTCCTTTTTTTAAACGAAATGGTAAGGGCTCTAGGTTAATTACATGATCATCTTACTATACATACAAAGCGAGACGATGTACATAATAATCTTTCAATTTTGTCTCACGGGAAATTAAAGCGAACTGGGAAGTCATTTCCTGTTTGGCTTGGCAAATCAAATCGTTCTAGTGAATACGCCGATCATTGTCCGTATCATTACATGAAATTTGATTAACAGCAGCTGCCACTTGGACGAATGAAGTGGCAAATTATTTCCTTATTCAATTAAACGGTTATCCCTGGAGGTCGGGTCTTGATATCGTTTCCAGAGAACCGTTGCTGCGGAAAAGTCCGACCTTATCTCCTAAATGCGTTAAATATGGGTGAATTAGGTTAACACGTCTTTCCTTTCTCCTCTCCATATTATCTCAAATACTCTACAAAGCCTGTCCCTTAAACTCTTAAAGGATCTGAACAGTTCACCTAGCTGGCTTTATCCAATTATATGGATACCCTTATGATCCTTCGCCAGAACCAATGTTACGCCAAAGCTAAATATTATCTCCTAAATACATTAAACTCCGAAATCGGGTAACTCTAATCGAAATCCTAACCTTTACTCCTGTAACCGTACAGTTCTTTACCCTGAACTCCTATCATTGGTCCACCCACCTAAATCGTATTAAACTTAGTAACGTGATAGCCTCGCCGGGCTAAAGTAGTGGATGACCTTGCTGTACGGCAAGTTAAACAAGGATCTGAAACTACTAGGTTCCGTACAGACTCAACTCTGCACCCGTGTCAATATGTTCATTATATGCAAGCCTCTTGATTTATAATCACCGAGTCTAGTAACTGTTTAAGAGAGTTCTCTGGCAGTTACGAAACTCGAGAGACTGTGGGATACTGAAGGATATGAAACATTTGATATGGAGTTGTAGAGGGAGTTATGTGCCTCGCCGGGCTAAAGTAGTGGATGACCTTGCTGTACGGCAAGTTAAACAAGGATCTGAAACTACTACGTTCCGTACAGACTCAACTCTGCACCCGTGTCAATATGTTCATTATATGCAAGCCTCTTGATTTATAGTCCAGTGTAGGTCCAAATAACACGTACAATCATTTCCACAGCTGTTGCAGAAACTTGATACTAGAAACCGACTGGTACGTGGATTGAGACCACACATTGTTCATTCCGTTGAAATAACAGAATCTGTTAGATGCAGATATACTAGAAAGCCTATTCCTTAAGGCTCTTTACTAATTCGCTCGCCCAAAATTATCACGTGACTTTGGTTTTTATGGTTTTGCAGCCGAACAAAACGGTTTTACATAAACCCTAATCCCAACCCTAACCCTAACCATAACCCCGAAGCTATCCATAACCCTAACCACAATCCTAACCCTAACCCGAGTCCTAAACAATCAAATTCGTGTTTTACTAGCCTGTAACGTGACCAAAACAGTTTTTTGCCCATAACTCTGTAGGAAAGCATTTTTAGGGGTAAAAATTTTACCCTACGTCATTGGGGGGGGGGGGGGGGGGGGGGGGGGGGGGGGGGAGGGGGGCGGGGAGGGGGTGATTCGGAATCAGTGTCCAAAAATACACTGAATTCGATTACTTTCATACCCTCAGGGCCTTTTCACAAGAATTTTCTTAAAATTTGGGCGAGCGATTTATAGTGAGAGCGATTCCTTAAAGGATCAGAACCGTACACCTAGCAGGCTATATTCAATTAGACCGTTGTTCTTTTGTCAGAGCCACTGTTCCGCCAAAGCTAGATATTATCTCCTAAATACATTAAACTCGGGTAACTCTAATCGAAATCCTAACCCTTACTCCTGTAACCGCACAGTTCTTTACCCTGAACTCCTATCATTGGTCCACCCACCTAAAACGTATTAAACTTAGTCACGTGATAGTCCAGTGTAGACATATAATTGATTTAATTAATTTTATAAGATAAAAATGTTCATATTAAATTATTGGAACCTGAATCGCTACTCGAAGTGAGCGGTTGGTGACGTGTTCATGTTTGTTTAGCTGATGTGTTTGTACAAGCGGTAGTTCAAGACGTTGCATTGTCTTTTTCTACTGTCAGGGTCCGAAGGACGTGGCGTATTGTTTACACAACCTCCCAATGGGAGGGATCAAGAGAGTTTATTATAAATATGAAGTGGGAGACTAATTTTACCTCACTTCATATTTGTGCGGTTGAATTCCTGGTCTCTTTTCATTTTTTACTAAGATACACCTTTATTTCAATAATATCTTTGACCTGCATTATCTCTGTAATTTAGCTTATGACAAGAGATATTGGCGGAAATTACAATGAAGTTTTAGATTTTTGTTTTTGTTTTAGGGAAAGATTAGACTTGGGCGTTGTTTTTTAACTATCCCTTGTTTATAACTTTGATTTAATAATAATACACCTCTTATTCACTCTTCTGTAACACAAAGATCGCTAATTTTAAAGGGGTATCACATGTAACAACACAACTTTACTAATCAAATTGTTATGTCTAGTCTTTTGTCTAGTCTCAAATTTCTGCAGCAGCTGTGGAAATGATTGTACGCGTTATTTGTACCTACATGAGTTGTCGCCATCCAGCGCTCATGTAGGTACAAATAACACGTACAATCATTTCCACAGCTGCTGCAGAAATTTGAGACTAGAAACCGACTGGTACGGCGGTTTTGAGATCCCGAATTTTGCATTCCCTAATCCTTCACTTTGTATCGTACAGTTCCCTGAACTCCTGTCATTGGTCCAGCTACCCAGAACTTAATCAAATTTAACCTTCCTACACATTATCATATTTGTGCGGTTCTCATTACTGAGGCGATTATTGCGTGACAAAATCTGCCCCCATAAAAGGCTTAATATGGTTAATCTCACCCCTAGATATTCGTCCCCTATATCCATTAACCACGTTCAGTCAGTGCTATAAAGTATGATTCATTTCCACTTTATATTTCTTATCTTTAAGATTTATGTCTCCACTTCAGTTAGATCGTCTTGCCCGAAAAATTCTTATTTTCAAATATATTCCATTTTAGAATCTCCGACTCCACATGTAATGGGTTATCTCCTCACATTGACCTGCATCGGCTCATGTAGGTCCAAATAACACGTACAATCATTTCCACTGCTTTTTGCAGAAACTTGAATATAGGAACCGACTGGTACGGCGGTTTTGAGATCCCGCACATAATCGTAATAAATTGTTCATTCCCTAATCCTTTACTTTGTATATGAAGATGAGCGATGTAATAGTATCTCATCAATAACATCACACTAATTGAGTGTATAAGCTGTATACACTACAAGCGGAGCTAGAGCTCTCACTACTTCTGTAGCGTGATTGGATAAGCGTTTCCTTGCTAATATAATAGAGCTGATGGTATTATTGTCATTATCTAGTGTTGGCTCTTCGC